TAGTATGTTATGCCAATTGAGCTTGATGTCCCCTGTGACTATGGTCCCAAGCCCTCAGGATCAACTACTCCGTCCCTCTGGGTAGCTGGCTGTGACCAAGCAGTGACCACAACCTAGCCTCTTGTCAGCTGCCAATACCCTTTTTAAACTCAGTTTCTAAACACTAAAACCAAGGAAACAACAAAAAACTAAAAATGCCCTATCAAAAATCTAGCATGTTCCTACTGTAGTCACCTTTCATCAAAAAGCCCTTAGGTCCTTTGGAAGCAGTTTTATGAACTAATAAATGTTGCATCAGTGATAAAAGGCATTACTACCATCACCATACAAAGGATGTAGGCGGACTCACTTCCATTAGCAGGCCTCTTATCTGATATATACAAAAAAAGAAACTGAATGTAATGCTACTGCTTCTGCAGAATCATTTCATGATCTGGTTCACCAGCAAAAAAGAAAGAAATGACTCAACATAAATACTTTTTAAATATCAGATGAAGGATTCTGAAGTAGTAAAGACTGGAAAAAACCATAGTCTGCTTGTTGAGAATGCAAAAAGACTCCATTTTCTATTTTATACATCTATCTCAGCCTAACATTTTATGCTCCTTTCAAAAGGATAGAGATAAAACTTTTATTTATTTTTTAAAACAAAAAACAAACAATAAAACATACCTCATAGACTGTTCTTAGGACCAGTCACGTGAGGATGGCTTTTCCATAGCTTTATTCATTATGATCCTGATTTTTATAAATGACTTTTAAAAAAGCCATCCTTTCATTCAAGTTAAAAATCTTCAATAACTAACATAAATAAGCATTCCTAACATGGACAACAAGCTCCAGGTAGGGTGGGGGTTTCTGTTTCTGCCTTGGCTCCCCCTACAACAGAGGTGGTGCATCTTGGCCCCACGAAAAGGTATGCTGAAACAGTACTACATGAAAAAGTCTTGGTGGTGACAAAGATCTAGAACCACTCAGGGACTGCCAAATGGAGTTGTTGCCTACCCTTCGTTACTGGCTGGAGTGTTAGCTTATCTCTGTATCCTCTCTCCCTGTCCAATGTGGAGTTCACAATCATACTGTATAACAGTACAGATGATTAAGTAAACTATAAGTAACAAAGATAATAGTGGTTACAATTAAAAAAATTTTTTTTATTGTGATTTGAGTGAAAATCTACAAGTTGGTTTTTTATTCAGCAATTCATTCACATTTTATTTAGTGGCACTGACTGCAATCCCCACAATGTAACAGCACTCTTCCCGCCTCCTCCCTGTTTACCACTTCCCTCCATCCTTCTTTTCTATCCCTTCCTGCCTTCTGAGCTTTTTCCCTGGGCAAATGCTGCCTTTCTGATCTCCAGGGGTTCATTGTTCTAATGAGGTGTGTACCTCCCTGGTGTTACTGTTCACCTTTAGGCCTGTCTATCATTTGACTGGGGAGCTCTGGTAGCATAGTGGCTAAGGCACTTGACTGCTTACCAGAAGGCTGGCGGTTCAAACCCACCAGCCACTCCTTGGAAGGAAGATGGGGCAATCTACTTCCGTAGTGATACTGCCTCGGAAACCCAAGGAGGGGTCACTGTGAGTCGGGTCTGACTCGATGGCACATAACAACAACAACAATAATCATTTGACTGAAAGTTGAGAACAGTGGTTACTAGTGATGAACATTACCCTATATGAGGCACTATGCTGAGCAGTCATATATTATCTCACTTAATCCTTACAACAATACCTGAAGCTACGTTTTGTTATCTCCATTTTACTATTAAGAAAACTGAGAACCAATGTAGTTATGATCAAAGAGAAGCTGCTATGATATTAAAGAGCTATTGAATATGATAGTTAAAAATTTAAGAAGCGGTCAAAATTCTATCTGTTAAAGCCACTACACTCAGATAATTTTGAGTTAATGTTATCAACTATTCAAGGGACATCTAG